ATGCCTGTGGCCCATGGCTAAACCAATGCCACCCCTGCGTCGGCGTGCTTTCTTGGCCAATGAAGAAGAAAGGGGAAGACACCTCGAAGAATATGAAGAAAAGAAAAGACAAAGGCGAAGTGAAGAGCAAAGGGACTACTACGAGGAAGTCACAAGCCCAGGAGATCGCTGTCCGTCGTGATCGAGAAGATCGCATTGAAGGACAACTTCGTCCTCTCTGACCTGAAAACCAAGCGTTGCGTGCAGATCTCAGCCGACTTGCACTCCCTGCAGCTCCGAAAGAAGATGAGGGCCTGTTCGCTATTGCAATGGCAGTGCAGAGCAGGACCATGCCGCCGAAGCTGCTGAAGTTCAGTTCGAGGCTCCGAAAACGGGGTCACAAAAGATGGAAGCTGAAGATCCCGAAGTCACCGATGGAAAGGCTATCTCACAAGGCCACGTTGCAGGTGAAGAAATGGGGTCGCCTTGAGAGGCGAGCTGCTGCCCTGCTTTTGGCTGCAGTGCCTAGAAGAGGTTGTTACATCGAAGAGTTTGAGCGCCTTTGGCACCCTCACCAAGGGCATGATTGCCTACCAACGCGGCTTGGCTTTTTGGGAGCATTGGAGTCTCCCTACGAATGCTCCAACATCCAGAGCGCTGTGTTGACCTTGAGGAGGTGGATTCGATGGTTCGCCGAGCCGAAGATGTCGGGGTGTCGATCCCAGATCCAATGATCTTGGCACGAGGCTTGAGCCGGATCACCAAGAAACTGGTTAGCGCACACCCTGAACTCCACTTCCGGTTGCAGTTGGTTCGGAGTTCGCTGTTGCTGGATTCAATTCCAACCCATGAATTCATCACCAAGTATTACAGTGAACATGTCCTTGCAGAACTTGAACAACTGGGCCACCGAACGAAGATGAAAGAAGCAATAGGAGGTGGAAGGGAAGCCCCAAAGTTGAAGAAGTTTGAAGATGCTCAAGGAAGCTCAAAGAAAGAAGGAAATGAAAGAAAGCAGTTTGGAGAGAAGGAAAAGGAAAGGGGCAAGCGTCGGTTTTTCTTGACGGACCAGGGTTGCCGCCGTGGAAAGAACTGCTCCTACTCTCACCAGGACTTGAAGGATGACTGTCGTCGATGGAGCCACAGATCACATGGCCACAACCTGCTCTCGACCTAAGGAAAACAAAGGAGGAAGCCAATCGAAGCCAAAGATTTCGAAGGCTGGAAAAGAAAAGGAGAAGACTGAAGGAGGTGGAACTGAAGAAGAACTCCCCTCCGTCAAAGATCTCCCCAAAGAAGCCAACGATATGCTCAGGAGCATGAACTCGTCTTCGTCGTCCACGGCATCGACCTCAGTGAAAGGTGATGATGAAAGACATGAGGTGGTGGAAAGATTGCAGCAACAGCTCAACTCCCTCAAGCAAAAACCATTTCGGTTGAAACGCATGAAGAAGGGGGAGAAAGATGGTCTGTTGGATAGTGGTGCAACTCATCCACTACGGCATCCCAAAAGAAGAAAAGGGGAAGATGTTGGATCGTATGAACGGGTTGCCGATGGCCAAGTCACACGGCTTTCAATGACCCCAGAAGGAGCAATGGTTTCCTATGACTCCGGCATCGAGCCGATCATCCCAATGGGTCAACTCGCAGAGACCTTGAACTGTTCCGTCCGGTGGGAAAAGGGTCAGTTGCAGGTGGAACACCCTGCTCTTGGTCGTCTCCCTTGTCGAAGATCGTGATGGATGCCCCCAGTTGCCACGAAAGCTGGCTTTGCAGCTCATCGATGAACTGGAGGTGAAGAAGAAAGGAATGAATCTGAAAGAAGTGGAAGAATATGAACAAGAGCTCCAATGGATGAAACAACTGGTCCGCAATGCATTGGTCATCAAACCAGGACCTTGGAACACCTTGCCTGGAAGCCGAAGAAAAAGAAAGAAGATGACGTGTGATGGCTTTGTCGCGCACCTGTATGCTGGCCCAGATGAAGGATTCACGATGGGTCGAGCGTGGAAACAAGCAGGAGGAAGTGAAGATGATTTGATGGAGGTGGGTGTGCTCCGTGGTGAAGACCACGACATGCTCTCCTCAACCGGAATCTATGCAGGGCTGATTACTGCAGTCCTTGAAGACAAGCTCAAGGCCCTGTTTGGTGGTCCCAACTGCAGGACACGATCGGTCCTCCGCCACTACCCCATTGAGGGGGTGAACGCCGTTCGGAGGTGGAATGGTGAGGAATTCGGAGTGGAGGAGGCCACCGATGAAGAAAAGAAGAAGGTGATGGAAGATGACATCTTGTTGTGGAGGATGGTGTCCTCGTCATGTTGGTGAAGAACCTGAGGGAAGCGGCGAGGATTCCTGGGGACTTCATGTTTTCCTTGGAGCAACCGGCGTCGCCCGAAGACTACATGCCACAGGTCGTGTCGTTTTGGGTCACCAAAGAGTGGAGCTCGCTGAAAGAGGAGTTTGGTTGGTCGGAAACAACGTTCTCCCAGAGACCTCTTGGTGGAGCAGCTACAAAGCCGACAACCTTCGTGGCAGCCTGAAGCTTTATCCGGAAAACTACCAAATGAAGTCATGTGGTGAGAAGAAAAAGTTGAGTTTTCATGGCAGTTGGCGCGTTGGCCGCCAGGAGTCATGAACGTGGTTGCAAATGCAGCCCTCGCCCAAGTCTACTTCCAGAAGCCTCAGGTCAAGGCCTTGTCGTGGGAAGAGCGCATTGCTTTTGGTCACACACCTTCGAGAAGGGATTGCCGAGTCTGTCAACAGGACCGCCAACAGTGCAATCCACGCAAGCGGTTTTCGCATCCACTCGCTGGAGCGCTGTCTTTGGACACGGCAGGTCCTCTTCATCCGGCCATGGACCAAGGTGGGCACCTTTCACGCTACTTCCTTGCAGCGTCCTTCACTTGGGCCATTCCAAAGGGCTACAAAAAAGAGGAGGAGGAAGAAACAGAAGAAAAAAGTGAAGATGAAGAAGAATACCCGCAAATTGAAGGAAAGAAGCTCACCTCAGGAAGAAGTGAACCACCCGGATGGGTTGAGTCCAGGGTCACAAAATTCCGGCCGTTGAGGATGGATGGTTACCATGTCAACCACATCCACACAGACCAGGGACATGAATTCGCTGGCCACTTCACTACTTGGCGCCGATCTCGCGGCATCATGTTGACCAAGACATGCTGCGAGTCAAATGGACGAGCCAAAGCCACTGTCAAAAGAGTCAAAACGATGATCAGAAAAGCGCTATACCATGGGGGTCAGGGCTCAAAGATGTGGCCATGGGCTTGCAGATGCGTGAATGAGGTCCTCCGATGTCATCCTGTACAAGAAGCCTGATTTCCCACGTGAGAAAAAGGAGATGGCAAAGAGAAGATGTTGAGCCAACTATGGAAAACTATTCACTACCTTGGCCCTTCAGTTGAGAACCATGGCCACTGGGTGATGAAAGAAGGTGAAATCCCTCATTTGACCAGGTGTATCCTAAAGCCTGTCAATGAAACGTCCGAAGTTCACTGGATTGCTTTGGAAAGGGAGCTATTGGATGGCCTCACCCTGCGACGAAGGCTGAGGGAGAAGACCACTATCAAAAGAATGGAAAAGCCAGGAAGTGATCCTGAAGAAGAAAGGAAAAGGAAGAACAAAGCAAAGATCAAAAAGGTGATCGAAGATGAAATGCTGAAGACCATATATGACCCACCGAATTTGGCTGCCTACTCCATCACAATCCTGGGAAGACTTCGAAAGATGATTGAGGACCATGATGAAGAAGAAGAGGAAGTGCTCCAAACCCGGATCGTGTTGCCAACAGAGGTGGCATCTCAGTGGATCAGTTGGTGTTTTCGCTCATCACAAAAGAGAGGTAGAAAGAATCATCGCTGAAGCTCGTGAGCAGGGCATGAGGGTGGAACTGATACCATCCAAACTGGTGTTCACAAGAAAGCCAGGAAAGAATGGCGGAAAGAAAAAGGTGAGGTGGGTTGTTTGCGGCGACTTTGAAAGCCGCCAGCCTGATGAAGAAAACTACTCGTCAGGTGCTGATGCTGCAGCTCTTCGCATCATGGTTTTGGTGTCCGCCAAGTTCCAATGGGATGCCTGCAGCATTGATGTGAAAACTGCATTTCTGAACGCCCAGATCCAGCAGGATGAAGATCAAGTCCTTCGGGTGCTCCCGAGGGTTTTTGGAAAAGGACACCTACTACCAACCACAGAAAGCTGTTTACGGCCTCAGAAGGTCACCTTGGCTGTGGGGTGAACATCGAGACAAGATGATGCAGACCTTCGTCATCGGCCTCGAGGAAGAAAAGAAAGAAAGAATGATGAAGTTGGTGCCACTGGATTCTGAACCCAACTTGTGGCGCATTGTTGATCAGGAAGATGAAGAAGAACAAAAGGTCTCGTCATGACCTATGTTGGTGATGACATCCTGATCACAGCACCGTCCCACATCAAAGGTGCTTGGAAAGGTCGAACCTGAATTGTTTGCATCAGATATGATTAAGAACTTCGACATCAGAACATCCTGCTGTCAGAGGCACAAACCTAAACCAACCATGCCGGCATCCTATTCGCAAGTCGGCAAGTTGGAAGCTTCTTACTAAACTGTTCTTTGACGGTGCCTGAATTCTTCACAAACATTAGTATAAAATGTATTTGACACATACTGGCGCGGTTCGAAGAAGGCACTCCTATGCACCGATAGAACGACATGTAAATGCCCAAGTAGCAAGATGAAGCGCTAAAAAGACGCATGCAAAGGCTTAATTACAATTAGCAAGAAATCATTTGCCCAGAAACTCTTCAAGTGGACATAAAAACAAGTCCTTCCAAAAACTATCGAGCATTGTTTACAAAGAAACACCCAGCGTCAAAGGATATGTTACTACAAAGGGTCTTGACCCGATTCGGGCTGTGCATGCTTGCCTTGTATTTGCGAAAAGACTTTTCAAGACAAAAACCTGCAAAGCATAGATGTGTAATTCTTGAAGTTTCAAGAAGCCCAAGCTAGTGCAACATCTTTCGAACGTTGTCTCCCTAGGCCTACGTCATTGTAAGCCAGGTGCAGTAATAAGTAATGGCCTCCGCACGTTTTGAGTATTTTTGAATGACTTTTGTACCCAAATTCGTGCAATTCACGGAATTGAATTAACTCAGGTCATGATTGCCCATGGTCAAGCACTTCAGGCTTGTACTGTACATGGAATCACCTCATCAGCAGCCCAGCACGTTTGCAGTCCCTGCAAGTCAATACATGTAACTCTGACAATATCTCATTGCGTGAATCCACACGAATCCATTTGCTCTGAGCCAGAAAACATGTGCTTATGTGGCGCGACATTGACACGGCCACGGCTCAAGCAGCCCGGTTTTCTTTGATTACATGCGTCAGCAAATAGCAGCACACAGCTTCTCTTGCCAAAGAGAGAATGGGCCCTATTGGCCTTATGCCATATGCCCTTTTGTTTTTGTGCAACCTCGAGCGTTGCATGGGCAAGAACTACTAAACACATCACACCTCGAGGCCCTCTATGGCTCTGCCACAGCATCCTCAGCATCTTCGGATTCAGATTCGTGGTCTAGACGAGCAAACGCAGAGCAGAATGTTTGGCCTGAGCTGAATTGACTGAATTTGGCTGCGTCTAAGGCGGCTGATCAGTAGCTGCAATGGTTTGCAAAAAGGAACAACTTTGCAAGTGCCAGCCCTGTGCAAAATGAAGCAGCAAGTGCAATGGCAATTTCAAGTGGCAGTAGCCCGAGTAAATACCCTGGATGATAGAAATTGTGCAGTGTGAGGGCAAGCGATTGTGATGCTTTTGTCGACAATGAGACCATAAGCACAACAGAATTCAAATAAACATGTAATGGCCAGCAACTTAACCAGCCTACATGTGAATTCAATGGAACTCGTGCCTAGACATTTTCAATCAGGGCGTCCGCGGCCCGGGAGTGGGGCCATTCGACTGGCCTTCTATCCACGATCTCTTTGGAACCGGACTGACGTGGGGCTCGACTCTGCTGGACAATCCTTCTGCGTTGTCGTAATCAAAGTCAGGGTCCAAAGTAAACGCCTGCGATGGCAATGAAGTTGCAAGAAACACAACAAAACAAAAGAAGAGGACCTTTCCAAAGGACACATTTGCCACGAAGCGCCTCAACCAGATCCTGATCATTGTATCCTGACAAGTCTTGTCGGAAGGTGGTCTCGTCGCCGTCATCTGTGAGCTGATCAATTTGAAGCCTGCAAGGCTGCTAAAGGCAGGCCCGCGCGTGACAAACTACAAATAGCAAACAGTCCGTGGTGAACCCCCATGCCATTAGCAAAGCGTTTGCGCGCAAAGCGATGATGTTGTCCAAAGTCTTGCGGAGTTGTTTTGGAGCCTGGATGAAAGACCCTCTGGCGTCTCACGCCTGCAATCTGAGGGAAGCGGCGTGACAACCAGCAAACAGCGGCTGCTCTAGAGTCTTCATGCTGCAGATCTATTGTGTAGACCCTCCTTCCCCCGCGTACTCATTTTACGTGCCATGCGGCGTTGCGCAACATCAATCCTCATACTAAGAATTATGCAAGTGCATTCTTCTGCATCCATTTGTTTATGGTTGTAATTTTCGCTTGTTCAAGTCTGTGCTTCAAAAGGGTAAAGACTTGGACTTGCTACAAACGCCAAAGTTAAGAATTAGTGGATGGCAAAATCTCCCAATCACAGCCATAGAAAGAAGATGAACATTATTTAATCTCCACAATTCAATTCTCAGATTTATCACACATGCTAACATCAAACTGCACTCTCTCGCTCTGCTGACTCCTTCAGCGCTTTTTTAGACAGCATCGGGGAGATCCAGTCTTGTCTCATGATCGGCCTCCCTCTTCCCCCCC